AACGTCTTGCTGCTGTTGTTATGAACCATATGGAAACTTCCTTGGAAAAAATTGTACTTCAATCACCTTTCCTCAATTCAAGATGATTTCTCTAAATTTCTAGTCCAAGCCATCATTCATCCATCTGAGTCTGAAATTTGTCAAGTTGAAATGCCAACTTTATCACTATTATGCCAGTCCAAAATTTTCAGGAACCTTTCTCCTCCAAATCGGCTTCATCCATCTCTCGGGCACTTGACAACTCCCCTTATTCTCCTGTTCATCCTCATTCCATGAAAAGCAGCCAAAAAGTGACACTTTCTCCCCATGTGTGCCCTCATGAAACTTCACATTCATTGTTTGATGATTCCAGGAAGTGACTCTCATCTCCAAGTGGGAAGAGTAATTAAAAAGATTAGAAGGTTCTAGAAGGTGGAAAGAACAAAGGAAATATACTAAAGACTAGGAACTAAACTTAAAATATAATATTGTGTACATCCACAGACTCACTTGTTCATTGACATTAAATGCTTGAATAAAAATAGACTTCTTAAAGAAAAACAAAATGATACAGCCAAAAGAGATATCATTATTTGAAATCTCAAAAAATAAAATATTTAAGGCCTTATAATGTGTCAAAGTAATTTTGGATGCCTGAGAATGCCTTGACATACAGTTGATTAACTTATGTGTATCTGTGTATTTCTAATGATGGTAATTAATTAACTCGGCAGCATTTCAAGTTACAAAATTTTCTTTTGTTTGCTNTACATATAATATATATGGGTTCATAATACACATAGGTTCAAATTCTTTCAGTCAATATTATTTTTTGCTTAGATCATAGTTATTTTCTTTGGATGAATGTGAGATTTATAGACTAAGGTTTAAACTTTTTTGTGTATCAAAAATTATTTTATGTATAAAAACTTATTCTTTCTACCTGGAACTTTTGTATAAATAGATACTAAACTGACCTTTTTGTATGTTTCCAGCATTTTTGATACATATGTAAAGTAAACGTTTTTGGCATCATTCAGGGGCCAGTGTCAGGTTTTTTTTTATCAAAGATTTTATAGCTGAACTTTTCAATTTGGAACACTTTTCTAAAGAAAAACAAGCTCTATTTAAATTAACTAAACCGTCCATTTTTTTCAATTATGTCATTAACCAACATTATTTATTAATACCCAAACACTTAACAAATTTAACACCTCACAATAAATTATCACAAAAATTATAAATTATGCCTCTTACATAATAAATTTAAAATATTGTCGAACATATAACTGTTTGCTTATGTTCCTAAAATATACCTCCATGTATAGGAGTATCTACAAGTGCTTTCCATGTGTTGGAAATTATTTCAGTGTCCTTACTCTTTATACATTTTCCCTATTGAGAGCTTTTAAAAATTTTCCATGTCTCCAGTGTTCTCAGATTAGCTGTGTTTAATGTATTTTTAATTAATCTGACCTCTTTCCATAGGATCTACACCTCAGGCTCCATTGCATACTGTGCTAGAATGGTAGTTGTCTTATTCTTTGCAATGTCGTATTTATGTTTGGCCAATCTTTGCATTCAGGCTGTTGTCAAATCTGCCACTGTACAGTGGTATGGAGTAACATTGTAATTATCTTTTATAATCGTGAGAAGCCTGAAGATCATAGGGTTACTTATATTTGAATGCAACTGAGTTCTTGTATAATTCATTACTTGTTTGTACACAGCAATCAGACTAGGATGAAAATCTAATACAATTTGCCTTTTGTTTGTTTCTTGTAGTGGCTGATTCCTATTGTTTGTTTCTTGTAGTGGCTGATTCCTATTGTTTGTAAGGCTTACATTGTGTGGACTGTCCTTTATAAAATGTTTGGCTAAAGCAGGAATGAGAGTTTTGTTAAAACCATGTTTTTTATCTATGTCAGTAAAGTACTTCAGCAATTTGTTTGGGTCAGATATGTTTGAACCATGCATAAAAGCTATCTTCACTAGTGATCTGAATCCTGCAATCTTGTATTGAATCAGATCACAGGATGCAGCATGAATAAAAATGGGGGTGTATGAAGATTTGTGGAATATATAAGTATATACTGTTATGTTGCAGGATTATCTTGCAGGATTTAGGTCTAAAAAGTGGGCTTCCTTGTTATTCTGTTAATCCAATTCTATTGTGAGTCCATATGGATTGTCTTTAAATATTTTCAGGATGTTATGGATGTTGGGTTGTGAGTTTTATATGTTTAAAATATCATCTGTATAGCATGTATATAGGCAGATACTGGGAAGAAGCTCTCACATGATTTTAGCCTTGAGATGTCTTATTACAAGTTCACATAAGTCCCCTGATAGTGGGGTGCCCATTGGTGTTCCTCTTTTTTGCAGGAATACCATTGAATTTAAAAAAATGTTGTGTAGCATAGGAAGTGAGCTAGTTCTAATACATGTTGATTGTATTCTCGTGGAGATGGTATATTCCTGAATAAAGCATTTTTTAATGCACAAAACAAGGTTCTGTTTGACTGATGGGAACATTGAAGCAAAGTCCAGAATTGTAATGTATTTGCCTCCTTGTAGTTTAGTTTCCTTTAATTTATTTATAAGTTGTAAGAAATTTTGGATGGTAAAGTTGTACTCATTAAGATGATCTCTTGAAAGCCTGTATACTACTTTTTCTATATCAGTTGTGGGAGATCTGGCCTTGTCAATTATTGGGCAGAGAAGATGACCTGGTTTATGCATTTTTGCAAATGTGAAGAACTTCAGGGTGTTCAGAGACTGTAGAGCAGTCGGAGGTGAATCCTGACCAACATTTTTGAGCATGCTGAAAGTTATAATAAGGATAATAGGTCTATCTCTAGCATTAAACAATAGGCAGAAACGTTATTTGATGTGAATAAAAAAGTATGGACTATTATAAAGCCTGCTATATCTATATGAAATATATGACATATATTATAATGAAAAAGTATTAAAAGTTTATGATAATAATTCAATTTTTGTGGGCCCTTGACACTGGGGGCCCAAGGCTTAAGCTCTATTAGTCCCTATGTAGATCCACCCTGTACACAATACATGTATGCTGACTAGGTACCACAAGCTTTTGATACAATCTGGCCTTGTTAAATGCCTTGAATGACATTATGTGTGTTGTGATGATGGTGGCATGAAATGTTTCCGTTTATGTGGTCTAAAAGAACCACATAAACAATAACACTTTCTTTTTAACAATAACAATACAATGACACTTTAATGTCTCCAAATCTGCGAGTGACTCTCTGGCACTCCACAATCGAGCAACACTCAGGCACCCGACAATTATTGGTAATTACAATACTGGTTCTTGACCAGCCACACAGCTACCCACTCTGGTTAGCTCCCCAGTCAGTACTGCGGTCAGCACTCCTCTCAGCACTGCCGCCACACACCACTCTGACTCTACACACACCCAAAGGGAAGCGCACAAATTTTCCCTCTCTCATCATTTCTCCCTCTCTAGGCGGGACAATCTCCCCCACATTCTTGGGGAGACTGTTACCTCACCCACCTAACACATGTGACCAAGCTGTGGACTGTCCATCACCACTTGCGGACATCCACACACCTGACACATGTCTGACACATGTTACAATTGAACTTAACAATGTGCATGCACTTGTTTGCTGCAGCAAATCTCCACATTAGCAAGCGCTCGAGTTCCTGCAAGCATCACACTGACTTAAAATGGTTATCTGCTAGCTGTCAATGTAAAAGCAAACACAAATGATAAAATAGTTTACACATTAGAATAGATTATTATTGGCATATTTGTTCTCATATAAAAGGTATATTGACAGTCAAAATTTTCTCTTATGTATGTGGTGCATGCTAAGCAAGCTCAGAGAATTCGCTCCTGAGAGCAGTATATTTTAAGTTGAGAATTCTTGCTAGGCTTGTTTGTCATTCTGACAATGCTTTTCTGTAATGTGTTTGCATAGTCATTGATAATATTCTGGCATTCTGTGTCTCTGATATGATCCTCTAGCTTCGATGTGTATTCATTTCTTTTTCATTAATATAATTGATTTACTTTTATCCACCTTGAAAAGTATAATGTCGTTATTACATATCCATTTTTTGCTTTTCCTGATATTCCATATTTTTCTACCTTTATCTTACATTTTATACCATGTGTTAAAGACTGTTGACCAGAATTCTCAATGTTTTTTTTCACCCCAGATGATATTGAAAGAATGTTATCTGGGGTGAATTATCATTCCCAGATGTGGAGTTGCACTTCTTGGTGTCATCAGGCCTAATTTCAAAGCTTGCTTCAGACCCTGTGGCAACTCACGATCATTCCAACATATGATTGGGGGTTTCATACATTTCTATTGACATGTAATTGTTTATAGAATATGTAGTTTAACTTTTTGTTATATTTTTTTATGAAGTACTTGAGTAATTTGTTCTTGTAACCTACTACTATTTGATTGACATAAGTGAGCAGGTTAGGATCTTCCTGGTGTAACCAATTTCCATATTTACTAGATTTCTTAGTTTAGAATACATATGTCTTCTGCATCCTCTGATAGCCTTTTGTAGGCAAATAAACTGGAGTTTTGGTAGGAGCGAATAGAATTCCTTCAGAAGTCAAATCCTATAAATTGACATTGGAAACACCTTATTCTTTATACATTCCAAAAGAAAATCAAGTTTGGCTTTAGCTCTCATTAGGGCTATGGCAATCTTCTTATAAGTATTGCCCGGCAATGCCATATTGAAACATAAAAACTTGTTATTTGTAGCTGGAATCTTTGTATAAATAGATACTAAACTTGTTTTTGCCTGTTTCTGGGTACTTTATGTATATATCAAAATTGCTGGAAACATGTGAAAAGGTCAGTTTAGTTTCTATTTATATTTTATGTATTTTAATTTTATATCTTTGTATAGTATTTTTAATATAGAAATAAAATTACATCTCAATTTTATTTATATAGATAGATAAATTGATTCATCATATTTTTTTCTTTTAACAGATTTTAGCATATAATGGCAATCTTCAGTTTCGAGTTACTTCTGACAGTAATCAAACAACAGATATGTTTCTTCAAGCATATCCTTTGATACTTATACAGGGAAATCATCATCTTGTGCTAATTCATACACATTTTTTACCTTCCATTAATGGACTTTATACTATTCCATTAAATGAAGTAAGATAATATATATTTAAATTTATATAGCATAATTCAGTCTCTTATTTTTTTATTTTAAATTCTCAAACTGTATTTTTAAATGAAACATATTCAACTTTCCACAGTTACATCACTGTTTATGATTCATAATTTCTAATTATTATAACCATTTATTTAATATTTTTGGTAAAGATTTTAAAATTATACATAGTATATTACAGAATATTTATTACTATATAAATAGTAAGTTACTGAAAATGTTCAAATTAAAAAATGTTTACGCTGTAATATGGTTGCTGTCTATTGGTTCTTGTATGTAAATGTCTGTTTATTCCCAAAACTTGTTCGGTAGACTATATCACAGCATTTTGGTTAGACACATCTTTATTTTAAAAATTGGATTTCAAATGCATTTCAGGTTGATTTACATTCCCAATCCCTCTTCAGTGCTGTACGAAAAAAAACACATAATATAATTAGGGCACAACATTATCTAGATATCACGGAAAGAGAAATTTTTACATGACTTAATTGTTTATATACCATACAAAGGCATAAATTTTCTTTATCACAATTATATCATTTATAAGCACACATAAACAGTTTAGTATTCTACATAAAAACTGTATATTTTATGATGGTGTAAGATATTTAATTACATAAAAAATATATAAAAAAAACATTCAATTTTATTAAAAAATTTAAAATAAATTTTTTAATAAAAAACCTTATTATATTTAATAAGGTTTATAAAGTTTTGGTGCAATTGCATATTAAGTAATGACACAAGAGTGTCTTAAAATCATTATCCGAGTATTCTGTAGAAAGGCTCACATAGGATTACTGTTTTCAAAATTTGAGTGTATTTGTTGATTGGAGAGTTTTGGAGTCAGGCATTTCTGTGCAATGCAGTCAAAGATGTTACACACAACTGACAAAATATGAGAAAGGCCACATCTGCCCAACAAGGGGCTTCACATGTTGAGCAGATGTACAACATGTGAGACTCCAGACTGAATCTGAATCTCTTACTAAATATACTATCAATAATTAGTATATTTTAAATAATCATAGAATAAACACAGCCCAAAGCAATGTGAATGTAAAAAATGTAAGTTCCAAGTGTGAATTGAGTACACATGTTAGAATTTTTATCAATTTCAGACTGAGGAGTTTTAGCTATAACTCCAACACTCATAGAAATGACAAATATAATTAAATTGGAAAAACAGAACAGTTTTAATCAAAGAAAAAGTCATGCTATAATCATTAAAATTCTCGGATGGTAAGATAAAAAACATCATTGTCTAAAATGTGAGCAAAAGTTTCAAAGTTTAATCAACATCTTTTGGTTGGAGTTGAGATATGGTGTCAGGTAAATACTGAAGATCAGTCTTTCTTGTGACCTGATCTGGCTTAATTTCACTTGGAGAAAAGAAATTAACCAATCAGGAGATGATGGGGATGAGTAGGAATCAATCAGAAGACAGAATTTATGGATAAAATTCTTTAAAAATCCTAAATTTCAAGATTTTTCTCTTCCAACTTCACAAGATGACTCTGGTCATCCTTTTTCTCCGTGCTTATGTCTATGAAATATCACTGCCCCTGTCTTCACATTATAATACTATGTAAGCCTTCAGTTTTCCCAATAAACAGGTTTCATTTGTAAAGGTGATTTGCTCAGTATGTTCACCATTACCATCTCTTATTCATCTTGACCTGAGTTTAATTGACTTCTTCCTTTTCTTTCCCTTTTGGCAACCTCACAAACTGATAAGGTTTTTGGAGCAATGACTACATCAGGGCCCATATGCACAAAGGACAAGCTCCAGACATCCAGGTAGACCATCAGGAAAGATGATCATCTAATTGTGAGACAAACACCAACAGCTGCAACAATGTGTCTGTTTACTATCCAGAGACAGGTGGAAACCTTGTTGCAGAGGTTCCCTGTTTCTTTCAGTATCATTGGTAGATGATTCTGTTTTTGTTAGTGCTGTACTTATTAATGTTCTAAGTAGCTAATTGGGATATTATTATATTCTTGTGATAAGCTTTTGACTTGAATGTAACAAAACAATGAAAATAATAGTTTTTTTAAAAAAAATTAGTATTACATGTTTATAATTTATAATAATAAAATTTATATTAAATATTCATAAATATAAAATATAAAATTAATTTTTATTTTAGAAAGAATGGCAACATTTGAGGAATCCTCAATTACCAGTAACAAGAGCAACTTTGATGGTAACTTTACAAAATCTACAATATATTTTGATCAGAGCAACTGATAGTGCCAATATAAAAGAAGCAAGGTGTGTTTTGTTAATTTTTAATATGAAATAAAAATTAAAATTCTTGAGATTTGAGAATTGCTATATTATGTAAATTTTCCATTTTTATACTAAATGAGTTTTAGTAATTTATACTATTTTACCATTACTAATCTGTTTAACATCAATGATATTAAATGCATATCACAGGATGAGTATTTTATCATTTTTTCTTTTCATTGTGATTACTCTTTGCATTCAATAGAATGAATATTAAATTTCTTACAAAAACATTAATGAAATTTAAACTGATATATCATAGTTTTATTTTTTTTCCCATCAATATATATAATATATANTAATTAATGCTTCACAATCTGTTTATGAATCAATAAATTGGAAAATAATTACAAAATGGGTTAATAGACTAAAATTTATGATTAAATAATAAATTATTAAACAAGAAAATATTTTCATAAATAACATACAATAATAATAATTTAACAAAAAATAAAAATAAATAATTAAAATGTAAAATATAGAAATATATATCTATATTTATTTAGGCTTGAAAGTTTATCATTGGATGTTGCAGTTCCAGTGAAGTCAAATCTTCCTTCTCCATATACAGCTGTTGGAATTGAATCATGCAAATGTCCTTTAGAATATTCAGGTTCATCATGTCAGGTATTAGATTTAATCATTTTTTTAAATTCAAAGACTAAACAAATTTATCTTCTGAATTTTTGTATATTTCTTAAAAGAATTAATATAATTACTTGTAATCAAATTTATATTTGTTTACAAGAAATTACATATTGTCAATACAATATGTAACTTTATTAGAAAACTTTGTTAAAAAAAAAAAAGAGTAATTTATCTCTGATCACTTTCTCAAAGCATGAGAATGACAACAAAGAAATTTTATAATTAATTGTAAAGGAAACCAAATTTAATTTAGCCTTATGATTTATGGAAAATAATTGTACACATATTTAGCCTTATGATTTATGGAAAATAATTGTACACATAGCAGTAATGCTTGTAATAAATATATGTAATTGACATCATGACAATTACATAGTATATTTAATTGACAACATTATATATAACTACAACAGTGTTTCATGACTCTGTGAGTTAAATTCGATCCTCACTCCATTCTTCCTAACTATTACTGCTGAGTATTTCAAATGGGGATTTTGAAGTTAAACTAGATTCGGCTCTGTTTTGAAATACAGAAGTTAATTGGCAAATCACAAAAAACAAACATTTCTTTGTTTTTAGATTTCTCTCCATTAAAATTGAACATAGTACAACATCCCAAAATCCCAGAATGAAAAGAAAATTTTTTTTAATCCATCAAATATCACATTTCCAAACATTTCACCAAAAATTTTATTTCCATGGTTTCATAAATCATTTATACATATATTTAAATTATTTTTTTAAAATTTAAATATATTACAATATATAACATAATGATTATAATTATATTACAATATGAATATATGAATATACACTTATGCCCAAAAAATAAACATAAGCACTAATTTGGCCTATACCTCAGGAACTACTGATTAGAAGTGTATAAAACTTAAATATACAAGCAGAACATTGTATTATTTATGCAACAAAACAATTGAAAAACAAAAATTTAATCTAAATTACATCAAACTGAAAACAACAAGAAAAAGTATTAAGCATTGTCGTAAACCTCTTTATATAGTAATAGCAGAAACTGAATAGCTTTCAAATCAAACATACAAACTTTTGCTAAACTGTTGTTGTTATTGTTTGTTGAATCATAAATCTTTTTGCACAGAAAATGAATAATATAGTACCGTATGTGATTGCCTCCTGTAATGTACATGTACTGAACAATGATTGCTTATATTGATTATAATGTTTATCAGCTATATTGGGAGCAGAGTCCATTCTTGAACAAGAGCATCTTGAAGCTCCTGGAGTGTTATTGAAGTTTTATTCTGTCAGCTTGCACATCTCCTTACAGCATCTCAGACATGATTTATAGCAGGTGTGGCCAAACTTTTATTCCTTAGGGGCTACTTTTTTGGTAAAATATAGTCTGCGGGCGACTATGAATATGGGCAAACAATTTTAGGATTTTTATATGTGCATGCGTTAACATTCATTTGCATTGTTCACCAGGATAAATACAAACAGTATGGGTATGTTGCACAGACATCTATTATTGTAAGAATAAATTATCGAATTAAGATTTTTAAACATTAATTTAAGTGAAAGCAAATTGTTCAACTTTAGTTTCGTGGGCTACTTTCAAAACCTTTGCAGTTGACTGGTCAACCACATTTTGGTGTTGGCCATCCTTGATCTATAGGATTTAATCTGGAGATCCTGCTGGCCATTCCATGTGATGAATACCTTCACTGTCAAGAAAATTGTTGATGAGTACAGCTTAATATGCACAGGTATTATTGTTCATGAAAATGAAATCTGCACACAATTTTATATTTGTTGAGTTCAATGGAATGGCTGTATTTTTTCACAAAGGCCTCTAAATGGAGTCAAAAACATTCATGTGATTAGTAAATTGAGTGCTAGGGTAAATACAGAGTTTTCTATGTGAGTTACTGACTACTGTTCCAGTTTTGTGAGTGTTACTGAAGAAAAACTCCAAAGAATCACTTGGTAGATACAAGTAAAACAAGATTTTAATACTCTGATCATAAAAATTATTTCAATTTTTAAAATATTATTAAAAATTATTAGAACAATTATTAAAATATATACAATACATACAGAAATTGGGATGAAAAATACAAATTGACCAAAATGTCCCATGTGAACAAAAAAAACAAAAGCCTCTTTTTTGTCATCCTCCTCCTTTATATACATACCCCATTGCCTTTTAGTTTCCCCGACCCACCAAGTGACTCCCTTTCTGTTTGAAAGAACCAATAAGGACAAGGCTAGATAGACAATGGCCAGAAGTAATAGAATTTAAAAGAAAAGGAAGGAAATTAAAGAAACATGGCATGACCAAGCCACATGAATTTATATACAAACTGTCCTTGATTCTTAATTAAACTGCAGCATAAGCTATGCCAAGCTATTACTGTATTTATGGAATCTGCATATTTTGCATAAACTTTTGCTTTTTAATTGAATATTTGTCTACATTGTAGATATTTTTGACTGGAAACGTTTACATAAATTCTCACTTTGTATTGTTTACTGTATCTATGGATGATTATGCTTATTTTTTTGGACATGAGTGTAATATAATAAAGCTACATTTACCTCACTGACTGACTTACTCACTTGTGAGATATGCAAGGGTTTGTGGTGATATGCCATATTACTGTATATATTTTTGATATAAGTTTAGTTTTAAGTTTTCTTTCTTCTTTGTTTCCCCTTTTGTTTTCTTGAATTTTTGACTAACAGTCCTTCCTGTGGGTGGGGTAACCCTTTCTAAGAACCACAGTGACAATGGAAAGTGAGAGCCCCCAAGGCTACTATAACAGATAAGGATGGGTCAGACTCTCAGTGAAGGCAGATGTGTGAAAGTTACACTCCTGCTCGCTGTCTAGAAGGACAAAGGGAGACAAAGGTGGCCTGCAGAGGAGAAAAGATCCTGTCAATGCAATGAGAGAGAGACAAACATCTCTTGTTTAAGGAGGATAATTGAAGAGATCTGATTAAAGATCATCAGGAAATGATTTATAGTGGTTCACCACCAGTAAAACATCAATATCAACCAGAAAACCCGGGTATACTTTATAACCTCTTTTTCTATCATACTAAACTTTTTGATATTTTTCCTTCCCCTTTTAGTTTATAATTTAGTATAGTATTAGTTGTAAGATTATTCTTCTGTCTTTTCTTAATTGTTGTGAGTGGGTTCTCTTGCTTTGTATTTACTCAATTCCTTGCACCTATTTTGGATATTCTGTAACACTCTGAGATGGAATCTGTAAAAGAATCCTGTATATTACTATTCACGTGAAAATAAATAAATAATTGTTGTTATTTATTCATGTACTGCCTTTCGTGGACCATTGTACACTCACATGATTCTCACAGGTTTTTGTTAGCCCACTAAGACAAACATCCTGAAAAAAGAAACACATGTCCTATATGTCAAACAATTTGTGTGATATAACTATTTACAGGAGTGGTAACAGATGCCAACTCTAGGGTGGATACTCTGGAAATAATTCAAAACATGGTTGTCAGCTGGATAATTACAAAGTATTATGACAGGTACAAAAAACCTGAAATTACTTATTACCTAAAAATTTCCTTATAACTAATCCTTAAAACTAACTTACACTAAAGGAAAATGGAAAACAGACAATAGGAGGTGAGAAGTGTCAAAGATGGCTGAAAGAATAGAATAAAGAACCCAGATTTTATGAACGTCTTGCTGCTGTTGTTATGAACCATATGGAAACTTCCTTGGAAAAAATTGTACTTCAATCACCTTTCCTCAATTCAAGATGATTTCTCTAAATTTCTAGTCCAAGCCATCATTCATCCATCTGAGTCTGAAATTTGTCAAGTTGAAATGCCAACTTTATCACTATTATGCCAGTCCAAAATTTTCAGGAACCTTTCTCCTTCCAAATCGGCTTCATCCATCTCTCGGGCACTTGACAACTCCCCTTATTCTCCTGTTCATCCTCATTCCATGAAAAGCAGCCAAAAAGTGACACTTTCTCCCCATGTGTGCCCTCATGAAACTTCACATTCATTGTTTGATGATTCCAGGAAGTGACTCTCATCTCCAAGTGGGAAGAGTAATTAAAAAGATTAGAAGGTTCTAGAAGGTGGAAAGAACAAAGGAAATATACTAAAGACTAGGAACTAAACTTAAAATATAATATTGTGTACATCCACAGACTCACTTGTTCATTGACATTAAATGCTTGAATAAAAATAGACTTCTTAAAGAAAAACAAAATGATACAGCCAAAAGAGATATCATTATTTGAAATCTCAAAAAATAAAATATTTAAGGCCTTATAATGTGTCAAAGTAATTTTGGATGCCTGAGAATGCCTTGACATACAGTTGATTAACTTATGTGCATCTGTGTATTTCTAATGATGGTAATTAATTAACTCGGCAGCATTTCAAGTTACAAAATTTTCTTTTGTTTGCTGTTAATTATTTTTTATTAATTTTTTAAATTGTTATTTATAGTTATTTAATCAATATATATATATATGAAATTAATATTGTTTATTAAAAAAATTAATTATTAAAGTTTTATTATAAATTGCAAGATGGGTGTGAAGAGTTGCAAAGAATGTCAAATAATGAGGTCAGGCCACTGAAGGCAGACAGGGGCCTATCTGTAAACATAATTTTTTTAGAAAAGAAAAAAGGTAAATGATTTAATTAACACGAAAATATTAAGCATTTGAAGACAAAGTCTACCCAAATAGGGCCACCATTTATTAATTTCGATTTTCAGTTCATGACAATTTCCAGTCATAAAGTATCATCACCAGAAGGAAGGTTTTCTAATCTACATTTTCCAGTGCTTATTTCTTTGTGGATAAAAGCCGAAATGCCCTCAAGAAAGTGTGGATAGAAAACAGAAGACGTCTGTGTGTCACCAGTTCCTTTTTCAGAAAATCTTTGTATTTTTAATTAGATATATTTTTTGTGTGTTTTTAAAGGACTTTTTTAGCATTTTGGTGGCACTAGTCTAAAAAGGAAGGTCGGTCGCCGAAATTGTACAGTCTGGAATACGAAATTAATAAATGGTGGTCTCTATTTGTGTGGACTTTGTCTTCAAATACTTAACTACAATAAAATCCATATGACCAAAAAAAAAAAAAATATTATTCAAATTATATCTCAACAGGAAAATTGATTAATGCCTTTGTACTCAGATAAAATGATTTATTGGAATATAGTTTCTTATTGTTATTTTAAAAATAAAATAAATCTAAGATTATTATTATTTGAGAAAATTTAGTTATGGAATGAAAGATGCAGAATCATTTGTTTTTCTGATTGTTTGTTGTGCATTTGAAATAACAATAGTTCTAATTAGATTAGATACAAATAAATTTGAGATTATCTAAAAATGTTTAAACTGATTAAAGGATAATTTGTATCAATTAATTTTAATTTCAAACATTTGATTGAAATAATTATTTGTTTTCATAATTTTAATCATTTATGTTTTCAGAATCCAAATGTCGGCTATTACCGCAAACACAGTGATAATTATTTGTATAGTAAAAATATTTTGGATTTGATTGGATGGGCTGAACCATGTCCTTGTAATAATAGGAGCAAAATTTGTGATGAAAATACTGGTATTTGTATGGTAAGGAATTCAAATTATTATTTAATGAGAAGAATAGTATTTTATTTTCTCATGTAATAAGAAAATTTCTAAAATCAATAGTTTTGACATTTTAATATTTTAAAAATTATTTATCTCTATGAATCACAAAATTGTGAACATTTCAATATTTTTAAAATGTTCATAATTTTGTGATTCATAGAGATAAATATAGGTCTTAAAATGATAAATTACTTAAAACAAATCTGATTTAAAATGAATTAGATATGAATTTTGCATTCATAAAATATCTCTAATTTTTACCATATTCTAAACTGATTTTATAGTTTTATTAATTATTTTAACATATACAGATATACACAGTTGAACCAAACTATCTTAAATATGTTCATCTCAAAAAGCATTTTTCTCAAAATTTATTTATTTTTCTTGTATTTTCATCCTAAATTCAATATATTTTCTATGTTTTATCTCAAATAATTTTCTCTCAAAATCTCTATATCTCAAATTATGGACTGAAGTGTCAATTACAAATTCAAAGCTTTGCAACTAAATTTTGATAGCATAAATTGCAGTTGAGAAATTGAGAAACATTTCTTGCAATACAGTATATAATTGTAATTAATGTTGCTTTTCTCTGATTGGCTATTAGTTTGGCTTGTGTCTTATTGATTGAAGAAAGTCAAGCATCAGAAACTATTGACAAACTGTTTCTGTTCAGGTATGTCAATTGTTTATGCCTAAACAGGTATGTACTGTATTTTCTGTTGTATTAATAAAATAATGTATCTCCAATCAAACCTATTACTTAAATTAAAAAACCTTTGTACATGAATACTGGAACACACATAAATTAACACTCAAAAAACCTTAACACTCAACAAACCTATTACTGTTTACTGTGTAGGAACCTCTATATCTCAGATATTTTTTTCATTTTCATGAGATAGACAGGTTCAACTGTATGTATATTATGTGCATGCAAATATGTGTATATTAATTTTTTAATTATAACCATTATTATTTGATTCTCAAGCTATTAAACATAAAATACATTAATTAAGTTTAAATATTTTAATTTTACTCTTTATTTNCTACTGTTCCAGTTTTGTGAGTGTTACTGAAGAAAGTGTTTTGTTAATTTTTAATATGAAATAAAAATTAAAATTCTTGAGATTTGAGAATTGCTATATTATGTAAATTTTCCATTTTTATACTAAATGAGTTTTAGTAATTTATACTATTTTACCATTACTAATCTGTTTAACATCAATGATATTAAATGCATATCACAGGATGAGTATTTTATCATTTTTTCTTTTCATTGTGATTACTCTTTGCATTCAATAGAATGAATATTAAATTTCTTACAAAAACATTAATGAAATTTAAACTGATATATCATAGTTTTATTTTTTTTCCCATCAATATATATAATATATA